AGAGTCAGGCCAGGGGGCCAGAGAGCTGCCTGTTAGTAATCACTCTGTGCACTTAATCCTTAGATTCCCTCTCCCACTTCCCTTTCCTTCTTTCCCCATATCATCCAGGTTAATCTCGAGTAAGAGTGATTCCAATGCAGGTCTGGCAATCCCGTGAGCCTCTAGGAACAGGGACCTAAAGCAATTGGCCATAATTCCGCCCCCTTTTATTCTCTTTTTAGAGAGATTTTTGCTGTAGGGTGTGTGAGCTCACTGGAGAGATAGAGAAAGAGACAGAAAGCAAGAAATTACCACTGACAGTAGATGGCCATGCTGTAATCCTTCACCCCTATTTTCCTCTCAGGATTTTGGGCACACATGAACACGGGCCTGGCATGAGTTTTAAGCCACCAGGTCTAGGACATGAACTGTAGTCAACTATGTTGTTGTCCAGTGACATAACCATTACACCATCTGCTGGTCCCTCCTTTTTTAGTTTTTTTGCCATAGGGCCTATATGCCCACCAGAGAGGGACAGAGAGCGGGAAAATGAGAACTCATCCTCCAGAGGGAATGGCCATACCACAATCCCTTCTCCTCTAGTTGCCTTTTGAGATTTTTTTGGGCACACAGAAACAACATGCCTGGCTTGATTTTCAAACTGCCAGGTCTAGGACTTGAACTGCCATCACCCATGTAGGAGTTCAGTGCTTTAACCACTATTCTACCTGCTGGTCCCCATAATTCTGTCTTAATTTTTTGAATATCTAATATAGCCAGTCAGTTCATGCATAAAAAAAGATTGAAAAGCTATACAGTAGATAATTTATTTCTACCTGAAACCCACCCCTCTTAAGAGAATTGTCGCCAGTTTCTTTCTAACCAGAGTTATATATATTTAAAGAATTATTTTTATTAAATTTTATTTATTCATTTATTTATTTTAATTTGACCAGAGAGAGACATGGGGACAGGGAGGCCAAGTGAGAAAGCAAGCCACCAGGTCCAGGACTCAAACTGTGGTCAGGCACATGGGAATTCCCAGTGCTTTAACATCCACACCACCTGCTGGCTATATATATATATATATATCCTTTTATGTAAAAACTAACATACTATTTAAATGTATGTACTTTTTTTTACAAGAATTATTTAATTTTATTTATTTATTTATTTTTCTTTTTTAATTCACCAGAAGGAGGCAGGGAAATTAAGAAAGCAAGCTGCCAGGGGACCAGCAGTTGGCGTAATGGCTATGTTGCTGGACTCCCATGTAGTTGACCGCGGTTCGCGTCCCGGACCTGGTGGCTTAAAACTCACGCCGGGCGCATGTTCTTGAGCATCTTGTGTGCCCAAGATCCCGAGAGGAGAATGGAGGAGAAGGGATTGCAGCGTGGCCATCCCCCCTCGGGGGTGATTTCTCACTTTCTGTCTCTATGTCTCTCTCTGTCTGTCTGGTGAGCGGACGTGCCCTATAGCAAAAACCTCTCGGAAAAAAAAAAAAAGAAAGCAATCTGCCAGACCTGGGACATGGTTGGCCATGTGGGAATGTCTAGTACTGTAACCACTATACCACCTGTTGGCTCCATGTTCAATTTTTCTTTAATTATTTTATTTAATTTTATTTATTATTATTATTATTATCTAATTTGACCAGAGAGACAGAGAGGGAGATCAAGCTGCCAGGTCTGAGACTCAAACTGTGGTTGGCCATGCGGGAGTCCAGTGCCTTAACCACCATGCCACCTGCTGCCCCCTACATTTTTTTCTAATTTGACCAGAGAGGGACAGAGTGAAAGAGAGAGAGAGGGAAAGTGAGAAAGCAAGCCATCAGGTCTGGAACTTGAAACCACGGTCAGCCATGTGGGAGTCCAGTGCCCTTAACTACCATGCCACCTGCAGGGCCCTCATTCCTCATTTTTAGAGCTGGGTAGTATTCCAGTAGGTGGATGTGCTATAGTGTATTTCACTGGTCCTCCTCTGTAAGTGAACACTCAGATTATTTCTAACTTTCCTTTCGCAATAGACCCACTTAGGTCTGTCTTTACCCTAATAACTTCTATAAGTGAGAGGATGTTGAATGTGTCACAGCTCTTTGCACATCTGAGTTAAGAGGTCTTGCCTTGCAGGAAAGGAAGTCTTTGAAGATCTTCCCATCCAAACGCATCTTAAGAAGACGCAAGAGAGAATGGGTGGTCCCACCGATATCTATCCCTGAAAATGGCAAGGGTCCCTTCCCCCAGAAGCTAAATCAGGTAAGACTGTGCCTTCCAAGGTGGTACTTGGTTGAAGAGACTCCATCCAGAGGTCCGAATGTGAGGTTTCTTATTGCTGAGTATGGGGTACATAAGAAAGCAATTCTCCTAGGAGCAGATTTTTTCTTTCCCCTGGGATTTTAACAAGGCAGTTGCCCTCCCCACCTTTCCAAAGAGGATTCTTATGAGATTTTTGTCACATTATCACCTGCCATGTTTTTTTGCTTTCAGCTCAAATCTAATAAGGACAGAGGCACCAAGATTTTCTACAGTATCACAGGGCCTGGGGCAGACAGTCCCCCTGAGGGTGTCTTTACCATAGAGAAGGAGACAGGCTGGTTGTTGCTGAATAAGCCATTGGATCGGGAGAAGTTTGCCAAATATGAGGCAAGTAATCTTTAGCATCAATGTAAAATAAATGTCTTCTTGGAAGATAAGAAGTAGGGCCCCAGGGCCTGGCGGGAGGGCAGCACCAGGCTCAGCCCAGACCTCTGTACTTACAGCTCTTTGGCCATGCTGTGTCAGAAAATGGTGCCTCAGTGGAGGATCCCATGAATATCTCCATCATTGTGACAGACCAGAATGACCACAAGCCCAAGTTCACCCAAGATGTCTTCAAAGGGAGTGTTTTGGAGGGGGTATTGCCTGGTAAGAGGATTGGAGTGGGAACTGCTCTGGATCTTTTGGGCCCAAACCTAGTTTTGGATCAACTTCTAGAACCATCTCTAGGTCAATCCAAACCCTTAAATGTCAGAAGTCCCTGCCACAGCTGATTTCCTTGGCCACGCATGCATCAGATTACCTAGGTTGTTCTTAGAAATCTAGATTCTGTCATTCCATCCCAAGATTCCTAAATGAGACTGATGCTGGAACAGAGCTCCAGGATCCATGTATTTGAAAATCTGTATGTTTGAAAAACTTCTAATGATCAGCCAAGTTTGGGCACCACTAGCTTTAGAGCTGCAAGGACCTGGGTTAGAATCTTGCTTTTATCTCTTTACTAGCCATGACCCTGGACATATTCAGTCCTCACATCTAAAAGTGGGAATAATAACCTTGAAGAACCGTGAAGGCTAGAAGCAACACATGCATCCTGTTACATAACATGAACGCCTGACATGAGGTTCTTTAGTGGGTGAAAGCAGCAGAGGCTGGCAGGTGTTAGAACACAGTTTGTGGAGGATGAAAATAAATGGCCAGGGCTGGAAAAGAAGGTGGCTAGGGCCAGCAGAAGATGAGGAATGTAGATGCATACTAATGAGCTGAAGACAGGTGCTGAATGCTAGACTTCCTTCTCTTCCTCCTTCTCTGAGTTGTCAAGAATTACAGAGAAGTGTGAGTTGGTTAGACTGCCAATAACAAAATTCCCAAAATAAAAATAGTGCTTAGATAAGATGAAACCCTGTTTCTCCTCTTTCTTATATTCATGAAATCTAGAGGTAGTCAAGTCAAACTGGAATAGTACTTCAAAGTGTTAAAGCCCTGGGTTCCTTCTTTGTGTGGCTCTGCTGTTTTGACCTCTGTTTCCAAGATTATCTGATGGCTCTTACAGGAGCCTCAGCCAATCATCTGGAGAGAAGAGGCAGGAAAAACAAAACCTGTGTGAAAACACTTTTCCCATAATTGTGGGTCCTATTCTTCATCATTTATTCTCACGGCCACAGCTAGCTGCAAGAGGGGATGGGAAATAGTCTTTGTTCCAGGTGAGCCTATGCCTAGCATAAAATGAGGACTGTGTTTCTAAGAAGGAGAGAGTGAGGGACCAGCAGTTAGTGTAATGGCTACGTCGCTGGACTCCCATGTAGTCGACCATGGTTCGCATCCCAGACCCGGTGGCTTAAAACTCACGCTGGGCACGTGTGCGTGTGTGCCCAAGATCCCGAGAGGAGAATGGAGGAGAAGGGATTGCGGCATGGCCATCCCCCCTGGGGGTGATTTCTCACTTTCTGTCTCTCTGTCTCTCTCTGTCTGGCGAGCGCACACACCCTATAGCAAAAACCTCTCCAAAAAAAAAAAAAAAGAAGAAGAAGGAGAGAGTGAGAAATGGGTTCCAACTAGTGATCTCTTATCGCAAAGTGAGTGATGGGTCCAAGCCAACAAGCGGGGGGGCTCTCAGAGTTCCAGAAGTGATCCAAGCTGGTATTAGAGTCAGGAGGGAAAGGTACTCACTTATCCCTTCTCCTCTCCAGGCACTTCTGTGATGCAGGTGACAGCCACGGATGAGGATGATGCCATCAACACCTACAATGGGGTGGTTGCTTACTCCATCCATAGCCAAGAGCCAAAGGACCCCCATGACCTCATGTTCACTGTGCACCGCAGCACAGGCACCATCAGCGTAGTCTCCAGTGGCCTAGACCGGGAGGTAAGTGGCCATGTAGGGAAAATGCAGCCTGCCCAGGCTGGCCCAGTCTGGCCTGACTCAGAGCGAAAGCTCCTGTCCCTCCTAAAGCCCAAGGCAAAACAGTGGGGACCCAAGTGAGCTGGGAGGGCTGCTGCCATGTTCATGTATTGATGGCCCTCAGCTCTCTTAGACCAATGGCCTGCTGCCAAATTATCTCATTAAGTTTCCTTCAGGCTGAGGAGGCAGCTGTAAAATGTAGGCTTTTTATATCTTCAGTAGGTTTTCTCATTTCCTCGTGGAATGGCTCACTTAGCACACACATTGCTCAGTATTGTCCCTTGTGTGCCACAAAGTAGACTCAGCCCCATGGATACTTGAGTCGCCTCCTGTTTCCTAATTAATATCCTTGTCAAAATCCCCACTCAGGGCTCCCCTCCTGGAGCAGCCTCAGGGTGAGGGGACAGAGCCCAGTCTTCCCAGGGCAGCACTAGGACCTGCACTTCCCCTCCCCAGTACCACCTTCTGCTTCTGTTCTTTCTGGTGATGGGTGAGGGGTGGGTCAAAGAGTCAGGAGAACATTGTAAGGGGGGAGAAACATAACCCCTAACCCAGCCACCTCTCCAAGGCTGTATTTCCAGGAGTCCAGAGACAGGACCTGTCAGACTGAACTCACAGTGGGCTTTCCCTCTCCTCTTTCTCCCCAGAAAGTCCCTGAGTACACACTGACCATCCAGGCCACAGACATGAATGGGGATGGCTCCACCACTACAGCTGTGGCCGTAGTGGAAATCCTTGATGCCAATGACAATGCTCCTATATTTGACCCTCAGAAGGTAACGCCTCTTTCTTCCCGCTTCCCTCATCACATAATGAAGGACTGAGGTTCTTCCTTTCTTGTGAAACTCTAGAAGCCTCCATGCTTCAAGTCCCAGTCCTAACTACTTAACTAGCTGTGTGCCTTTAGGCAAACTGCCTGACCTCTCAGCACCCATTTTCCTAATCTGTGAAATGGTGATAATGATAATACCTACTGCCTTGTTCTGATTTTGAAATGAAATGATCTATGTTCAGTTCTTAACACAATGCCTGGTAAATAAGTACTTGTTGTGAAAATTTTTATTGATGTCAAAACCTCTTTGCCTTACATCTACACCTGCTCACCTTCCCCAGTGAATGCTTACGCACCTTTAGTGACAGAGGAGTCAGCGCCAATCAGGATGGCTCTCCTTTCATCTTCAGACTGCTGCATATTATTTAGACCTGATGAAGAATTTGCTCTGAGCAGCTGATTTCTGTCTTTGCCACTTGTCTTTCATACTGGTTCCTGGGTGCCCCCAGGCTAGGTTTCTGGTCCTAAGCCCTTCTTGCCACCTTCCTTACACCTTTGCGATCTCAGGTGAATGTAGCTACATAGAGCAGGGAATTGGGTTCCAGACCAACGAGAGTCCTGGAACATCAGGCCCTCAGTGCAGGGATCATTGTGGTCTGTCCTGCAGCTGTGAGGCTGATGCTCAGAGCATTCTACATCTGTGTATGCCCTGACACCCCGCTGAGCGGGTTGGTGGTCCAGAAGAGGGTAAATGGCACGAGGCTTCCCTGAAGTTGCATGGAGGATTCCTAGGTGCTGTGGAGTGGAATAGCTTCTCAGGATGGTCTGTCTCTGCTCTGTTCATGCTGTGCTTCCCACGCTGACAGTATGAAGCCCATGTGCCTGAGAATGCAGAGGCCCGTGAAGTGCAGAGGCTGACGGTGACCGACCTGGATGCCCCCAACTCACCAGCATGGCATGCTACCTACCGCATCGTGGAAGGTGATGACGGGAACTATTTCACCATCACCACTGACCCTGAGAGTAACCAGGGTGTCCTGACAACCCAGAAGGTGAGTCAGTTTAGACTTTAGACAAGAGCCATACCAGAGGCAGCCAGGTCTGCAGCCTCCGGGACAAGGAGCCACTACCTCAGGCCACTTACCTTGCACCATTCTCCAGGGATTATACCAGGCCAGTGGCTTCCAACACTGTCCCACCCATCTTGTGTTGGGGAGTTCCTTCATTCAAACTAAATCTTTTTTTTTTCTTTTTTAAAGAATTATTTATTTAACTTTATTTATTCATTTATTTTAATTTGAACAGAGAGACAGAGAAAGCAAGGAAGCAAGCTGCCAGGTCCAGGATTCAAACTTGGTTGGCCATGTGGGATTCCAGTGCTCTTAAACACCATGCCACCTGCTGGCCCCAGACTAAATCTTACCTGGGGGCCCAATTCATTAACAAGTAAGATTCTCTATCTAATTGAAGCACGTAAGTAGAGCTCTCTTCCTAATCCCTAGTGGTGTATGGCTGTCCCCAGCCGGTCTGTCACACATGTTTTTGGAACCCATGCTAATTGTCCACTTAGTCTATAACATATATCCAGGTATTTTTAGATAATACCTTTTTTTCTTTTCTCCTTTTTGGAAAAAAAAAAGTAATTTTTAGAAGATAATTGGGCTTGACAGAGAAAGAAATAGAGGAAAAGGGACTCCCCACAATGAGATGTGATCACACTGCAATCTATGTCTACTTCCCATCAAGATTTTTTTTTTTTTTGCTAGGGTGTGTGTGCTCAACAGAGAGAGAGTGAGAAATCACCCTGCAGGGGTAATAGCCATGCTGCAATCCCTTGTCCATTCTCCTCTTAGGATTTTGTACACACATGTGCATGTGCCTGGCGTGATTTTCAAGCTGCTGGGTTTGGGTCTTGAACTACTCAGTCAGCTATGTGGGATCCAGTGCCTTAACTTCCACACCACCTGCTGGACCCCCGTCAGGATTTTGAGAATTTACTCACATGTGCCCAGTATGTTTTTCAAGCTTCTGAGGTCAGCCATGTGGTATCCGTCTCCTTAAGCACTAATAAGTTTATTTATCTCTTCCATGAAAGTAACAGGGATACAGCACCCCTCTGCAGAGTCCTAACATCATTAATGCTTTTGGACTGGCAGGTGGTGTAATGGTTAAGGGCACTGGACTCCCACATGGCTGACTGTGGTTCAAGTCCTGGACCTAGTAGCTTATTTTCTCATTTTCCCTCTCTCTCTCTCTCTCTGTCTGATCAAACTGGAAAGTAATAAGAACAAATAAAATTAAATAAAAAATTTTTTTTTAATTGATACTTTCAGGGCTAGCAAGTGGTGTGGTAGCTAAGGGGGCTGGATTCCCATGGCCAACTGCAGTTCAAGTCCTGGACCTTGCAGTTTGCTTTCTCATTCCCCCCATCCCTGGTCAAATTTAAATAAATAAATGAAGTTAAATTTAAAAATTCTTTAAAAAAAGAAAAGAAATGTCATATTTAAAAAAAAAAAAAAGATACTTTCAAGAAGATTGACCTTGAGTTGACCCTGTAGTGTTAAGTGCTGCTCAGAGGAAGCCAGATACCACATAGCTGCCTGGATTTTTAGTCCTGGTCCTGACAGCTTAAAAATCATGCTGGTTGCACTGCTTTCTCTTCTCATAAGCAGCCTGAGGTGATCTTTGAAAATGGTTCGCCATTCACTTGACCCAGAGAACCCCACAAAGTCATGCAAATCAAGAGGTTCAAATCTTTCTGTTCACTTTAAATACACTCATGAAACTGCCCAGGTCATCAAACTGTATATCCGAAAAGCCTCCAAGTATCTGAAGAATGTCACTGTACAGAAGCAGTGTGTGCCATTCCGTCGTTACAATGGTGGAGTCAGTAGATGTGCCCAGACTAAACAGTAGGGCTAGACACAAGGTTGGAGGCCCAAAAAGAGTGTTGAATTTTTGCTGCACATGCTTAAAAATGCAGAGTAATGCTGACCTTAAGGGGTTAGATGTAGATTCTCTGGTCATTGAGGATATTCAGGTGAACAAGGCACCCAAGATTGCACCATCACGCATACAGATTTCATGGGTGGACTAATCCATACTTGAGCTCCCCCTGCCCCATTGAGATGATCCTCACTGAAAAGGAGCAAATCGCTCCGAAACTGGAAGAGGAAGTCACACAGAAGAAAAAAATATCCCCAAAGAAACTGAAGAAACAAAAGCTTATGGCACGGGAATAAAGTCAGCATAAAATAAATGTAGATAAAAGGAAAAGGGGGAAAAAAGAAAAAAAACCCAACATGCTGGTTGCATATGCATATACCCCAGATCCTGATGGGATGAAGAATTGTAGGAAGAGCGATTGTGGCATGACTATGTCCCGTTGGGGGAAGCTTTCTCTCCTTTCTTTCTCTTTTTCTCTGGAACCCTCTAGAATTAAAAAAAGAAGATGATGAGGCCAGCAGATGGCATGGAGGTTAAGGTGGATGTATCCCACATGACCAACTGCATGGTTCGAGTTTCAGATCAGGCAGCTTTAAAAAAATCACACAAAGTGTATGTGTGCATGCTCAAAATCCCAAGAGGAGACTGGAGGAAAGGATTGCAGTGTGTCCATCACCCCTGACTGATGATTGCTCACTTTCCTTCTCTATCCTTGGCAAGCTCATGAACCCTATAACAAACTTTAAAAAAAAAAAAAAAGGAAAAAAAGATGATGGATCTGATCTAATCTTCAGTTTATTTTATCTACTGAATTATTATACAGAATGGACTAATTTGAGAAACAGGGTTTTAAATAATAAAGACTTTCAGATTCAGTGTCCCCTTTCTGCAACAAATACTTTGTAACGCCCCTTTTATAGTATAAAATGAAGTTTACTTATAATATCATTTACCTAATTAGTAATTTATGGAAAACTCTGTTCTAGCTATAAAACACAGGACAAATTTCTAGAAAAAATTTTTAATTGTAAAATATTTTGATATATAAACTTTTGGGCACAACTACACTAGAAAACATACTGAACTGGTCAATCACTTGCTTCTATTTGTAGAACCATCCAAAAATCAGTGGATACTGTATGTCACCCTGGTGATTCGTCCTGTTACAAGTGTTACTGATGTCTTTCTAGAACAGTGAATTAAAAACTTGGGAGGGGTCCTTTTGGCCAGAACCGCCATCTTCCAGTAATTAACCAAAATGACAAACACAAAGTGAAAGAGGAGAGGCACCCAATATATGTTCTCTAGGCCTTTTAGAAAACATGGAGTTGTTCCTTTGGCAATATATATGAGAATCTACAAGAAAGGTGATATTGTAGACATTAAGGGAATGGGTACTGTTGAAAAAGGAATGCCCCACAAATGTTGCCATGGCAAAACTGGAAGAGTCTACAATGTTACCCAGCATGCTGCTGGCATTGTTGGGAACAAGTTAAGGGCAAGATTCTTGCCAAGAGAATTAATGTGCGTATTGAGCATATTAAGCATTCTAAGAGCAGAGATAGCTTCCTAAAATGTGTGAAGGAAAATGACAGAAAACGAAAGAAGCCAAAGAGAAAGGTACCTGGGTTCAACTAAAGCGCCAGCCTGCTCCACCCAGAGAAGCACACTTTGTGAGAACCAATGGAAAGGAACCTGAGCTACTGGAACCTATTCTCTATGAATCCATGGCATGATGGGTATTAAAAATAAACTAATCTGTGGTCTTTAGAAAAAAAAAAACAACTTGGGCGGGGGCCAGTAGGTGGCATGGAGGTTGTGAATGGCTGGATCCCACATGACCTACTGCATGATTTGAGTCCCAGATCTGGCAGCTTGAAAACACACCAGTGCATGTGTGCACATGCCCAGAGTCCCAAGGGAGAATGGGGGAGAAGGGATTGTGGCATGGCCATCCCCCTAGGGGATAATTTCTTAATTTCTTACGTGCACTCACTTGCGCGCTCTCTCCCCCTCATCTCTTTCCAATGAGTACACATGCCCTAGAGAAGACTAAAAAGAAAAAAGAGGGACCAGCAGTTAGCGTAATGGCTATGTCACTGGACTCCCATGTAGTCGACCGCGGTTCGTGTCCCGGACCCGATGGCTTAAAACTCATGCCAGGCGTGTGTGTGCATGCCCAAGATCCCGAGAGGAGAATGGAGAAGGGATTGCAGCGTGGCCATCCCCCTCTGGGGAGTGATTTCTCGCTTTCTGTCTCTGTCTGTCAGGCGAACGCACGTGCCCTATAGCAAAAACCTGTCAAAAAAAAAAAAAAAAGAAATTGCATTCTTAGAAAATTTAGTACATATTAAATCCACACCCAAAACTTGGTTTATATGTAAAACATGTTATAGACTCTAATTATACATAGATTTTTCATACCCAGAAATGTCATAATGTTCAGGGGGATACTGGTAAGTCACATAGGATTTGGGTCTCCATGTATGTAACATCACAGGATGTGACAGTTTTGCCCCAGCCTGTAATGCCAGTAGTATCCTCAATCATTAAGCCAAACCAGAAATCCTACAAGGTGACATCAACCCCCACCTCATGAGAACAGATGTCTAGGGAGTACTAATCCAGCTACCTTTGGGGTGGTTTGAAAGGTCCCATTTGATGTCCACTCAGAAAATGCAGGCAGCTTTATGGGACAAGGAGAGAGCAGCATTGTTGCTGGTGAGGGTCTTAAGGCTTTCAGTATGGACCCTTTTGACATTTCCTGTTCTGCATAGAGCTTCCTCACAAAATGATGGTTCAGTTCCTTCTTCTTCTTCTTTCCTAGGGCTTGGATTTTGAGGCTCAAAACCAGCACATCTTGTACGTTGAAGTGACCAATGAGGCTTCCTTTGTGTTGAAGCTCCCGACCTCCACAGCCACCATCATGGTCCATGTGGAGGATGTGAATGAGGCACCCGTGTTTGTCCCACCCTCGAAGGTCATCGAGGTCCAGGAGGGCATCCCACTTGGAGAGACCGTCTGTACCTACACTGCACAGGACCCTGACAAGGAAGATCAGAAGATCAGGTACTTGGGAGTGGGGTTCAAGCCAGCCAAATGCATTGGAACAATTGCATGGGTTTATTACGGTTAGCACTTATTTATAAAACAAACTTTACCGTTTAATATTTTGAATATTACTGAAGACTATGAAGATGGGTCTAGAGGGAAGGTATTTCCTCTCCTCTCTTGTGTGTCCCTGCTGGGACTCCCACCTGCTACTTTAGGTTCCCATTTATGGAAATGCATTTTCCATGTAATCTTGGTTAGGAGTCCAGAGTCCATCTGCCATTTGACATGAGGCAGCCTTGAATGATGGCACCAGGATCCTAATTATTCTGGGTGTAACCTTTCTCAATTTTTCCTCCCCAGTTACCACATCCTGAGGGACCCAGCAGGGTGGCTGGCAATGGATCCAGACAGTGGGCAGGTCACTACTGCAGGCATTTTAGACCGTGAGGATGAGCAGTTTGTGAGAAACAATATCTACGAGGTCATGGTATTGGCCATGGACAATGGTGAGAGCTTCTCAGTCCTTCCACTGGGGGCACTTTTGCATGCCAGGTTACATGCCGCAGTATATCCCACCCATAGGCAAAGTGGTATGGGGGAGAGGTGTCTGCAAACCAATCCAGAGGATCAATGGAGCTTTTAGAGGAGTCTTTGGAAGACTAGTCCTAGAGTGACTGGCCATGATTCTGATTTCCCTAAAACCTGAAGACTCCTCTCAGCCCAAGTATTTGGTGTACTGAACCCCAAAATGGCCTATCAGTTTTTCCTTGTAATTGATTGATAGAGTCTGCCTAGAAAGTTCCATGACTGATTAGTGACATCATACTGAAGGGTGGGGGGTTGATATCATTGCCACTTGGGCTTGACACATTCTGAACCCAGGCCTGGAGAAGGGTGAGGGGTTATAGCAGGGCTGTGAAGAGAAGCCTCCCAAAAACTGATCTGTAAATATTGGATTAACTCTGAGGTGACCCATAGGTCTCACATTGTACAGAAGATAGTGTCTGTTTGGATCAAGCAGGCATAGCTGTGCTATGAACAGTTAGTAGTGTCTGCTCTGGACACAAAGGAGAGTGGTGGCCTGAGAGCCATTTATGTACCGACACTGTCTTGATCTGTAGGGAAGCTACAGTGAGGTGGCAGCACTTGAGAGTTCAGAGCCGGGCAGTAAACAGGAGCCCCTCTGAGCTTAACTGAGTAGGTCATGGGGGAGCTTAACATGGATTCATCAACACTGCCCGGGGAAGATGCTGAAAAGAGATCATATGTGTAATTACGAACAGGGAGCCCTCCCACCACTGGCACGGGGACCCTCCTGCTGACACTTACTGACGTCAACGACCATGGCCCAGTTCCTGAGCCCCGTCAGATCACCATCTGCAACCAAAGCCCTGTGCCCCAGTTGCTGAACATCACGGACAAGGACCTATCCCCTCACACCTTCCCTTTCCAGGCCCAAGTCACTCACGACTCCGACATCTACTGGATGGCCGAGGTCAATGAAAAAGGTAACTGAGTGGTGGTAGTATGTGGATGCTGGCTTTTCCAGGCAAGGGTATGCCCCTCACTCGGACCTTGCATGCATTCATTCTCTTTCTAGTCTCTTGTGGTTCACAGTGGTAACGATCTCCTCCAGAACATCATCAAAGGCATTTATTAATCTAGGGTAAGCCTTTGGGATTCTGCAGTCACCAAATGCAGTCACCAAACCTGACATTTGCTGAGCACACATACTGTATGCTAGACACCACTTCAGATGCTTTAGATAGATTAGATTTTTCAGTCCTTGCAACACTGTGAAGAAAGGGACTATTATCTCTCTCTCTCATACACACATTTTTACAGATGAGGAAACCAAGGCTTACAGAAGCTTAAATACCTTACCAAAAGCATGTGGCTAAAAGTGATGGTATTGGGGCCAGCAAGTGGCATGGAGGTTAGGGTGACTGGATTCCACATAGATGACTCCATAGTTTGAGTTCCAGACCTGGTGGCTTGAAAATCACACCAGGTGTATATGTGTGCTTGCCCAATATCCCAAGAGGAGAATGAAGGAGAAGGGATTGTAGCATGGCTATCCCTTCCAGGGGTGTGATTTCTCACTTTCTGTTTCTTTCTCTCTCTCCCTCTAGCGCGTGCTCTCTCTCTCTCTCTCTATCTCTATCTCTGTCTCCAGTGAGCGCACATACCCTATAGCAAAAAAAAAAAAAAAAAAAAAAACCCTTAAAAAAGTGATGGCACTAGGCTAGCCCCAAGTGATAGCACTGGGCGAGCAGTTAAGTAAGTGCTATATGTAGGAGACTGGTTCCCATATGGGTGACTATGTTCAAATCCTGGTCCCAGTAGCTTAAATACACCAGAACGCAGGCTTGTATGCCCAAAATTCCTGTCCCCCATTTTTATTGTGCCCAAAATCTTGATGGAGAAATGGAAGATAAAGGATTGTAGGTAAGAACTCCCCATTGGAGTGTTCTTTCTCTCACCTTCCCTCCCTCTAATGCGTGCATATGCTTTTGGCAATTTTTAAGAAGTGATGAGGGACCAGCAGATGGCATGATGGTTAAGTTGCTGGACTCTCACATGGCCAACCGCAGTTAGTCCTGGACCCAGTAGCTTGAAACTCACACTAGGCTTGTGTGTGTGCATGCCCAGGATCCTGAGAGGAAAACGGAGAAGGGATTGCGGCGTGGCCATCCTCCCTGGGGGGTGATTTCTCGCTTTCTGTCTCTCT